TCTGAGACCTTTCGTGGATATGTTCATATTCTTATCGCTTTCTTTTTGTTTTTCTTGTGAAATGATTGATTTGCGTGTGTTGTGCCAGCACATTAGAGTGTTTCGCGAAAGAAAACACATGTTTGCAAGCATTCTTATGTAATAATAAATAAGAAATAACGAAATATGAAGCAACCAAAAGGTAAACAAACGACGGACCTATTCTTTCCTCCGATACTTCTCGAATTTTGTCTCAGAATTGTCCGAGACCTTTCGTAGATACAAACCCTGGAGTCTGCTGGAGATGGCCATGTCCACTCCCTGGAAATGGTGACCGTCGCTGCGGCCTGATCCAGAAGTAGGTATAACCACCAACAGTGCCAGGTCTTCTCTCAGCTTCCACAGTTCCCCCGACAGCAGAGGCAACCGATCATCCTGACGCAAAGAACGGACGTTCCAAGCCCCCACCCTGACTCCCCCGCCTGAGGTTCAGCTTCTGGCAGTCGCTCCGAGTGGACTCTGCCACCCCGCCGTCGCTGCTCCACATAAAAGGGGGCGGGGGAGGGTGGAGGAGGACTGACAAGGCCCACCTCCCCCGAGCCTCCCATTAACCCCAGGGGGCCTACATGCATACACACACACATATATATACATGCAAATACGCATCCAGACACATATATATACATAAACACACACATATGCATGCACATACACATTTAACACACACACAACACACACACACACACACACACACACACATATATATATATATATATATATATATATATATATATATATATATATATATATGTATGTGTGTATACATATGTATATATTTGTGTTTATATACATCTATATGTATATGGATATATGTGTGTGTGTGTGTGTATACATACATACATATATATAAATATATGTATATATATATATATATATATATATATGTGTGTGTGTGTGTGTGTGTGTGTGTGTGTGTGTGTACATTCACACATACACATACATATATATGCATATAATTATAAATATAAATACATGTATATATGTGTGTATACTCACACACATACATATACATATGTGTATATAGGTATATACATATACGTGTGCACACACGCATGCAGGACAACACTCACCCTCGATTTTTTTATGAATGTATTTGTTTGTTCTGCCTTTTATTCTCATCATTATCATTATTATTATTATCATCATCATTATTATTGATGTTATTTTTTTGTGTGTATGCGTTTTCCCCCCATTAGTTACGGTTATTTATTTTCAGTAATCGATTATGATAATCACTTCCGGAAGTCATTAGGTCTAATTCCTGTTAAGACATGTTTTATACAAAGGGGTATAGGGGTACCCATGGGGGTGTGCAGTGTGTTTGGGGTATAGGAGTAATGCATGTTTGCTTGTTTACTTCTTCCTGTTCTCATTTTCTTCCTTTTCTTCTTATTCTTCTTCCTCTCTTAATTTTCCTTTTCTTCTTATTCTTCTTCCTTTTCCTCATTCTTATTCTCATTATTATTGTTTTGGAAAGGGGGGGGGAGGGGGCATCCTTCGGGTTATTGATTTCCCGTAATTGATTATGATAATTAGTCATTAGGTCACTTCCTGTTATGACATTTGGTATGTAGGGGGGTACCCATGGGTAGTAGTTCTGTTCTTTTACACACTACTCATGCAATGTATGTATATATGTATATTTATGTGTACACACACACACACACATATTTAGATATATATATATATAGATAGATAAATAAAAATATCTATCTATCTATCTATAGATATTTATATGTATATGTTTTTGTGTGTATGTGTGTGTATGTGTGTATGTTATATAGATATAAAAACATAATCACACTCACTCACTCACACACACACACACACACACACACACACACACACACACACACACACACACACACACACACACACACACACACACACACACACACACACACACACACACACTTCACTTAATATCTAAGTTTGCTAATAGGGAAGCGTTATCATATAAAAACGTACAAGATTCTGGTGAACAACTTTATTTTATGAACGTTTAAAAGGTATTCTTCGTCGTCAGTGCTACCACAAGGAAGTCCACAAACATCGTTAATGTTATACGTCAAAATCAACCTTAAAAAAAGCCACAAGTCCACAGACATCGTTAATGTTATACGTCAAAATCAACCTTTAAAAAAGCCACAAGTCCACAAATACATCGTTAATGTTATAATATACGTCAAAATCAACCTTAAAAAAAGCCACAAGTCCACAAACATCGTTAATGTTATAATATACGTCAAAAACGCCACAAGTCCACAAATACATCGTTAATTAGGTTATAATATACGTCAAAAAAAAACAACCTTAAAAAACAACAACATAAAAGAAATTAATATATGTAAAATCGAGGAAAAACACCAAATGATGGAATGGGTAGTTACAGTCACAGGATTACAGTGAGAGATTCAGTTGTACCGCAGTTACAGAACTTAAAACCGGTAAACAGGGATTTTGTAAAAGTTGTGTATGAGAGTCCTCTATGGGACCTGTGTGACGAGAAAGGAAAGAGAGCAGAGTCTATTTAAGTACTTATAGTAGTAATAGTATGACCAATAGTAGTAAATAGTGACCAATAGTAGTAATATGTGACCAATAGTAGTAATATGTGACCAATAGTAGTAATAGTATGTGACCAATAGTAGTAATAGTATGTCCAATAGTAGTAATAGTGTGACCAATAGTAGTAATAGTATGTGACCAATAGTAGTAATAGTATGTGTAGTAGTAATAGTGTGAAATAGTAGTAATAGTACCAATAGTACCAATAGTAGTTAGTAGTGTGACCAATCGTAGTACCAATAGTAGTAATAGTATGTGACCAATAGTAGTAATAGTACCAATAGTGCCAATAGTAGTCCAATAGTAGTACCAATAGTCGTAATAGTATGTGACCACCCAATAGTCCAATAGTAGTAATAGTATGACCAATAGTAGTATCAATAGTAGTAATAGTACCAATAGTAGTAATAGTATGTGACCAATAACGTCAACTTAGCTCATTGCTTGTCCATACAGCGTAGGGCAGTCTGGAAAAAAAAAAAAAAAAAAAAAAAAAAAAAAAATATATAT